GATGTGGCGAATCCGCGCCTGTTCAGGCTCAAGGAGAAGACCCTGCAGTACCGATTCACGGTCAAATACTTGCCAGGGAAGCGGAACTGTGCAGCTGACGCCCTATCCCGCTTCCCCTCCCTCAGGGCGGCGCCTGATGCGGAGGACGTGGACCAAGAGGAGGACCTGTGCGCTGCAGTGTGTGCAGTCACAATCGCAGCACTGGATCAGGATGGGTGCATCACTATGGACGAAGACACAGTATGCAAAGCGGCTGCGGACGACCCAGTGTACCAGATTCTAGTGTCGAGGGTGCTGGCGGGCGACTGGCACCCCCACAAGTCACAAGAGGTGGCCTGTCTGCGCCCGTACTTCTCGGTGAGGGACAGGTTGGCTGTGGTCAGGGGTTTGGTCACCTACACCTTTGACCAGGGCTGCGTGCGCCTTGTCATCCCCGACTCCCTCCGCCACCGGGTCGCCGTTAACCTGCATGTGGGGCACCAGGGCCTCGACTCAATGCTCAGGCGGGCCCGGCAGTCTGTCTATTGGCCTGGCATGGAGGGTGACCTGCAGTATCATCGGTCCCGGTGTGCCGCTTGCGAGACCCACGCCCCTTCCCAGCCTCCGGAGTCGTTGGTTCTGACCCCAGCGCCAGACTATCCCTTTCAACAAGTGGTGGCCGATTTGTTCTACCTGCAGGGCCGCACGTACCTAGCATATGCTGACCGACTGACAGGTTGGCTGGAGATCGCCCACTTCCCCAACGAGGCCACCTCTGGAAAAATCATCGCCAGTCTGCGGGCCTACTTCACGAGGTGGGGGGTACCTGAGCAGATCTCCACGGATGGAGGTACCAACCTTGCCAGCCTTGAGATGACAGATTTCCTCAAGTCATGGGGGGTCGAGGTGCGCCTCTCGTCGGCCCACTTCCCCCAATCCAACGGCAGGGCAGAGGCTGGGGTCAAGGCTGCCAAAAGGCTCCTCAGGGATAACACTGGGCCCGGGGGTAGCCTGGACTGCGATAGGACATCCCAGGCCCTCCTCCAGTACCTGAACACGCCTCTGCGGGGGGTGAACAAGTCGCCCGCCCAACTTGCCACCGGCCGCCAGCTCCGTGACGGCGTTCCCGTGGCCAGACAGCACTATAAGGTGGACCAGCACTGGCGGCGGGCACTTCGTATGAGGGAGGTGCGCTTGGCCGAAACACAGGATGGGGTCCTTCTGTCGCGGAGGGAGGTGTCCCGCCAGCTGGCTCCCCTAGTCGTGGGCACGCAGGTGCGTGTGCAGGACGCAGCTACCAAGCTCTGGGACAGGACAGGCATAGTGGTGGAAGCCCGCCCTCACAGGCAGTATGCCGTCAGGTTGAGTGGCAGTGGCAGGGTGTCCATCCGCAACAGACGCCACCTGCGAAACGGCTCCACACCTGTGCCTACTACTCCGGTGGCGCACCAAGCTGTGCCTCCTGGCCCCCCTTCTGCTGTGCCCTCCATACCCGCGCCCGCCTCCGCACCCACGGCCCCTCCCCAGTCGAGCGCGGCCAGGCCCAGGAGAGGCCGTAGGCCTCCGGGCTGGTTAACGGACTACGTGGTGTAGTGTATGTGATGTAAAATCAGTTTAGAGGGTTTTTTTCTGTTTTTTTCCTTTGTTTGACTCGTTTTTCCTGCATTATTGTTGTTTTTATGTATGCATTGTTTTCCTTTTGTTAGTTCAAATGTGCATTGTCATTTCCTTTTAACTTGGGGGGGAGATGTAAGATTGTACCATCGTACGATATGTTTTCCCATGTTGAGATGGGGGCTTGTCTTTGGCAGCTCCCGGTTGCCAGTCACCAGCTGACGCTGTTAGAATAAACGTGGTCTATGACTCCAACCTCTCACAGTTACGGAGAAAATGGGAGTTCAAGATGGTTTCGAAAATCTTAGAGAGGGATGAAGTTAGGGTAATGGGGCGATAGTTAGAGGGATTAGAATTTTCACCCTTATTCGGGATGAGCTGAACCAAGGCATGCTTTCAAGAAGAAGAAGGAACAGTTTGGGTCTTAAGGCGAAGGAGGCGAGAAGCACAGGGACCAGAACTTCAGCGCACTCCCTAAGAACACGAGGGGGTATTCCGACCTGTCCATGCGCCTTACTCGCATCCAACCTGGATAACACACCGGCAACCCTGCGAGTGGAGATTATAGGAAAGTGCATAGGTTCAGTAGGAGGTGCAGGGGTAGGAGGGATAGAGTGGGAATCGTCAAAGGTGGAATTAGAGGAGAATAAGGTGCCAAAGAGGTTGGCTTTGTCAGGGGGAGAGTTGGCTATAGAGTTATTGGGACAGAAGAGGGGAGGAAAAGAAGGCGTGCAGAAGTTGTTACAGATGTTTTTAGTTAAGGACCAGAAGGATTTACTAGAGGAAGAATTAGTCAGGACAGCGGTCTTTCCTTTATTTCACACTTCGGATTATCCCTGACATAGATTGCTGCACCGCCTCCTTTCCCAAACTGCCTATCGGTATGGAATGATTTGTAGCCTGTAATTTGGTATTCGACAGGTAACTCACGTGAGTCTAAGTTTATCTATGTTTCGGTGAATGTTATTATATCTAGTTTTTCGGTACATACCAACGCCCTGATTTCATACATTTTGTTTCTCATACTTCTACTGTTTGCATTGTAGACATTTAAGTTGGTCATGATCGGAGTCCTACCTTTGTCGTTTTTAGGTTTAAACTTCCTACCTAATTTAGTTTTATCATTGTTCCTTGCACTATTTCTCTGTAACTTTTCATTTTGTTTATCCACTCCCACTGCAGCCTCCTCGATCCCCGTGCTCACATGTTCCCCTAGCAGTTTAAAGACTTCGACATCTTTTGAACTGCCTTCTCGAGAGAGCTAGCCAGGGTTGCCACCCCATCTCTAGACGAATGTACCCTATCCCAAGCATAAAGATCCCTTCTGCCGTAAAAGTTGTCCCAGTTGTCAATGAATGGGTTTGATATTGATTTGCAAATCTGTCAAGACAGCCGTTGACACCAACTGTCCTTGACAACCATTCATTGCCAACTCTCCTTCTAGGCAGGACACCACATATGATAGGGATCCCTCCCTTTACCTTAATACGTTCAATAGCTGTCTTGAACTTATCAAGGAGCTCCTCACTCCTACACCGGCCAATATCATTGCCTCCTGCACTGAGGCAGATAATGGGTTTGTTCCCATTACCAGACCAGATATTGTCCATCCTCACCCCAGCTCCTGGCAAACACACACTCATCCTATTTGTATTTTTAGCGCAGAGAGCTCTAGCCAGGTACCATACCTGAGAATCACCACCAATTAAGTCTTTTGTACCTTCCTTGTCAGCCCTGTCCCTGACTATGCTAACGTCCAATTCGTCTATCAAAGGACTAAAAGAGTTAGTACACTTAGCTGTTGTCGTTTCGGTGTCCTTTCTCACCACCAGTTTGGTCGTTCCTTTCCTCACAACCCCCCATTCGCCTGTGTCTTCGTCAGACACGGGCTTTTCTTGTCTCTTGTCTTCCTCCTTCATCCTCGCAATCACTTCCTTTAATTTGAAGTTTTCGTCCTTGACCTTCACTAACTCGGCCCTCAGAAGGGCACAGCCCTGCTCACAACCAGTACAAGCCATTACTGACGATTAATCCCCGGGAGCTAATTCGGCCATGACCTTTCCTCTAGTAAGGTCTGAACACAACTGAGCAAGGTCAGAACACAACTCTATAAAGGCTTGCTAGTAGGTTGTTTCTTTGTTTTCGAGCATATAGTGTACTGAAAATTCCTGGCAGCCCACTTGCCATAAAAGCTTGAATTTTCTAATTGTTCAGTGGTATCAATAAGCAATTTCGGACAAGGTGGAGGTGGTGACAAAATTCTATCCGAAATGTGATAAAGCTTACATAGCAACATACACCATTGCTACATCTTAAGAATACCAGGCATATTCCCATCAACACAAGGTAATACAAGATCATTTATAAATAATGGTGTTAAGTTTTGATGAAGCCTTGAAAAGCCTTGGCTTCGGCTTCACGACTTTTTAATGTCTGGCTTCGGCTTCGTCTCCTTGCCAGGATAGGACAGGAGTTACTGTTTTGGATCAGTGAATTTTAATGCCCCAGCTTCATTCACCTCAAGATTAACCAACCAAACATAACCTCAGGGAGTGTTAACGTGACCGGGTGAAATAAGTTGTGATTAATCTTCAGGTGATCTATTTTTTATGGTAAATGTTATGACACTAAAGGTTTTCGTCTTTAACTTGTTGATTGTACCTTCACTCTTGTATGTATCTTGAACTTTGTGTTTCTGCGTCTTTGATTTAATCACATTCGTTGTTTTACATAATTTTTGTGTATCTTGTTCCTTGTATTTATATTCCATGTTTCTACCAAGTTCCTTGTGTTTATAATCCATGTTTCTACCATGTTCCTTGTGTTTATAATCCATGTTTCTACCATGTTCCTTGTGTTTATAATCCATGTTTCTACCATGTTCCTTGTGTTTATAATCCATGTTTCTACCATGTTCCTTGTGTTTATAATCCATGTTTCTACCATGTTCCTTGTGTTTATAATCCATGTTTCTACCATGTTCCTTGTGTTTATAATCCATGTTTCTACCATGTTCCTTGTGTTTTAGCATATCGGTATTCCTGGTTTCTTTTTTTTATTAGTGTTTAATTTTTGTTTTACAATATACACTGGTTTTCGTCATATTCTTTAATTTGCATTTCTTTATTTATATTTGTTGTTTTACATCTTTTTTCTCATATTCTTTACTTCGCATGTTGTTTTAATATAGCCTACCTGGCTATTCATCATGTACTTTATATCTATATCTTCATTATTAACTATTTTAATTTAATTTAATTTTTGTTTAGCGATTTCTTATTTTTTATAATATTTTATTGTATTGAGGAAATTTCTCAGATAAAAATGTATTGTTAGTTATGAAAAGTAATATTGTATTTGCTTTCTTGTTTAGAGGGTTTATTTTTATACGGTTTCTTATTTTCCAGGAGCTGGCCACACAATGTCAGTAGCATCAGAGTTGGAGGCTACGGCAGCATTACTGGACGCTCGTCATAGCTCGAAAGTGAGAGGTCCTCCTCCCCCCAGGCCAGGTTTTACCCCTGCGCCTCTTGGTATATTCTCCTCCAACTCAACTCCTCTAAATACTGTCATTGGGAATGAAGAAATTGAAAGTGGGAAGAGGCCAGTGTATGCAATGCATGCCAGACTTACAGATGGTTTTGAAAAATTTTATAACCACAGTTTGAGAAAATTTGGATTAATTGATAAATCAAACAAAACTGCATATCTATCAAAAAATACAAGAAATTTAATAAAAAATAGTACGTATTTGAGAAGAATAAACAGAAAAAAATCTGAAAAAGCAGAGAGTCACAAAACAACACGCCCTCCAGAGAAACAAGAACAATACGGCAGCAAATATCCATATTACAATGGTGAAGAAGACCCTCGGCAATCCTCCAAGTTAGACTATTCTGAATCTATCAAATCTGTTTACCCAGTATACCCGAGTGACGTGATCAACAGCTTCCTGCCTGGCATAGCTCAGCTGGATGACTTGGGTGATGATCCCCTCCCACCCCTCTCAACCCAGGTCACAGTCCTACTGGATGGATGCAGTTCATCACCTCCTTATATTGTGAGTGTGGTGCGTCAAGCCAGGGCATTGTGGAGGAATGTAGGCATCATTGTGGGCGTAGATGACGAGAAGCGTGCAGAAGTGGACGATATAAGTCATTTGGCTGATGTGACATTTGTTACGGTGAGTTGTTGAGGTTATATAGTAGTACAGAATCGATTTTCAAAATGTTCCTTTTCCGTATATCATCCAGCAGTAACTTCATTATCAAACAGTTACCTGCAGTGATACATTAATAAAAAATCAAAAGTTCATTAATTGGGTACAGTCTCTCCTGTTCAGAAATACTTTAGATTCAGTATTCATTTAGTTTTGTTGCCATTTGAAAACAGATGGGAAGAAACTGTATTGGTTCAAAGGATGGAACACCTATAAGAACATGAACAACCATCTAGTACTGCTATATGAAATGACTGGCTGCAGTGCTTGGATGCCACTTCTGGCCCAAACAAGCTATAGGAGATTATAATGGAGAATAACCCTTTGATATAAATTATAACCGAATGCCACACTTGGCCACCACACGGCTCTTGATGTCCAAATAGCCCCAGCCAGTATGCCTAAAACTGCCCGATTCCCTTGACTATTATACTCTTGCTGGTCGATTGTCTTAAGTCTGGGAGCCTTAGGAGGCGGCCAGGAATTAAAGGTATGGTTAGTATGTACCATCCTTGGTTCGTGGAGCAGATGTATCTCTCAGAGGATGGAGTTTTAAGTTTACTGAGGATTGTGGCCTCCCCCAGAAAACACAAAATTGTTTCGTAGTCTTTTAAATATGTGTTTTCTCTCGAATGTTATGCAATATTATTTTTAGATAGAAAACCTGTGAGTGAGTACGGCGTCACATGACTAACTTTTACGATGTCAGGTGAACTGTTCAGTCAATGACACGCTCAATCAATTAGTACTGTACAGGCCTGAGAAGTGAATGTCGACGTCAAACGCAGTCAGTTCCCAATTAACCTATGTGGTGCATTCCAGAGAACCCATAGGTTAAACAATCAGCTATTTCCCATGGAAATTCATGTTATAAATTGCTACATTTTCCAGAGCATTCCCCCATATATTTTCAACCCTAAATTTCCTCTAATAATGACACAGGTGAAGTATGAGCAGATACAGTGTTGTAAGGTATGAGTTAAGATGTGAGAAGGGATGTGTTAAGGCGTTTTGAAATAGGAAACGAGCTTTAGATATCACTAAAGCCCTATATTATATATATACCGTATATATATATACATATATATATATTATATATATATTATATATATATATTATATATATATATATATATATATATATATATATATATATATATTATATATATATATATATATATATATATATTATATATATATATATATATATATATATATATATATATATATATAATCACTCAATAAATGTTGGCTCTTATTAACTTCTTTCCACAGGTACGGTGTGAGAAGTGGCGGCGTAGTAACCTCCACAGCTTGATAGCATCTGTTACCACACCCTATGTTCTTGTTCTGGATGGTGTCATAGCCATCACAGATGACCTTGATCTCAATCGGTTGCTCTCTGTTGCTCTGGGACTCCGATCTCTTGGTGTAGGTATCGTGAGTGGTGCAGAACGTGGGCGAGATGGATCATGGGACTATATGTGCACGCGTCTAACAATGAGCAATTCACGTCTCACACTCAGGGATGGTTATGAATATTCCCGGGCTGCCTGTATCTTCTGTGATGTCGCTGCCTCCTCTTTCTTAGCAGCAACCAGGATCATTCGTGATGTGCCCTATGACCAAAATATGCCTCACAAATCACTAGCCATAGACTGGAGTTTGAGAGTACAGAGACAGGGGTACTTGACCATGACTTGCCCAGATGTAATGTTCCATGTGCAGAGAATTGTCAAACCCAAGGAACAGCATAGGGAGCCTGACAGAAGCTGTGTGACAAAAGAAGAAAGGAAGCAAGCAAGAGCACAGCTGTGGGCCATCAAGAGACAGTACAGGAAGCTGGCACAGAAATGGGAGCTTAACTACATCACCTTTAGCAATGGTACAAGCTTTGAGTACAACTGCCGTGAAGTACATTACGATTGTAGTGCTTCTTATAAAGTGAGATATTACATCCTGCCGCCTTGTTGTTTAAAAATAAAAAATAAAATGTTAAACACCGTTAACATAATTGCAAAAGAGAACCACGTCCCATATGAAATTAGCTCTGGTACTCTTTTAGGTGCCGTGAAGTTTAAAGACGGCCTACCGTGGGACTTTGACGATGATGCATATTATAGAAATTCGGATGTTGAAGTGTTTATTAGAAATAAACAACGAATGAGACGACTTGGTCTCTCGCCATATCTTAGTGATCAACCCAATAAAAATAATAAGTCTGTTATAAGTAAATATATCTATGCAACTAGTCAGGGAGGGTTTGCATTAGACTTGTGGGGCAGGAATTCAATGCCTTCACTGGGAACACTGGAAGCTCTTGGGAAATACCCAGATAATCTGGTTTGTCTTCAGCATGGCCACATTGCAACATCTATTAAAGTTGCAAAATCAATCCAGAAGAATTTAACATTGAACAGGAGTGGAAAGAAAATGCCTCCATCTTGCTACCTCAGCTCTTTCTTGCGTGTAGGGACCAACTGGTTACCTGGCCCGTGGAACCCTGGGAAGAAGGCTTTAGCCCACTATGGTGACAACATGTACCGTCATGAGGCTCACTGGCGGTGGAATGATGTGGAAAACCCAGGGTGGAAGCCATGTCCCCGCCCAGGCCACCATACTTGCCTCGACTTGCACCCATTGGATGGCTCCTTGCCCTTCCTTTGAGCACATTTAATAGTTAAAAGTAAATCTCACCATCAGTATTTTAGAGGCAGGACTTGCCTGAAGAAATAGGGACCAGGTTGTTTTAATTTTCAATATACAGTACAGTACAGTACAGTACAGTACAGTACAGTACAGTACAGTACAGTACTAGCTGTGCAGCATGAAGACCTCTATTATTTGCACTTTACCTAACAATAAATAGAAGATATATCACTGGCACTACTGTATATGGCTGTTTTGCCATAACTTTTTATTATTATTATTATTCTATGTTTGATGATACATTGTGAGGTTGGTTATGGAACTATTAGTGGTTAACATCACTTTCGCAACGAACACACTAACTAGCTAACAGGTCAGATTTTTTTTATGTATTACAGTACTGGCATGAGCTGTTGAATATACCTGAATTTTTGCCAGTGTTGATAAAGTATGCACTTAAAGATAGAGAACATTTGTTGATGTTGCAACATAATCTGGCAGCATGTTATTCAAGAGTTCACAACAGGATATTCCAAGAGTTCACAACAGGATATTCCAAGAGTTCACAACAGGTTATTCCAAGAGTTCACAACAGAGTTCACAACAGGTTATTCCAAGAGTTCACAACTCTTGCTTCAATGATAGTCTGTGTAGCGATAGTTACGAGTGGGATGGTCGTCAACTAACCCCCCGATCCATACATTCGAGTGAGTACCTCAGCACTTTTTAGGGTCTATACTTATATTAACTCATCCCTTGCCCTTCTCTAGTATAAACTAAGCAATTGTAAATAATTTTGTTTCTCGTGTTAAGAAAGGTGTCCAAGTGTTAGCACCAGCTTGGTAGCCATCCTTTGTGTGTTCGTAGTAATGTGTTTGGCTTATCACGGAGACCAGGTAGAGTTGTAGTTCTCCAAGTGAGGCAACTCAGCACTCTTGAAAATTCTAAGAGATGAACCATATAATGCAGTAGTTTTATTTTCAAAGTTTACTTTGTTGTATTTAAACTTATTTAATTATAGAAAAGGTCAAATCGAACTTTCTCTCCATCCAACGGTTCTTAACTTCTGACTTGGTTAAGCTTGGATAGGATTATTTCCTTGTGTCTGATTAAAACTTAATTTAAAAATTTCCTGAAGTTAAGATTATTAATTCCAGTTGTATTAGAAATTTGTAGTTTTCCATTCTTCATATTGAATTGGTGTTCCTTATGACGCGTTTATATGTTAATGGTTCCATCACCAACCTCACTGTGATAGAGAATCATCACACTGACTAATCTAAAGATGATTTCTTTTAAAATTATAAAAGTTGAAAGAATTCTTACAAATTAGCCACAGTTTTATGGATGATGTTCCAAATCTATTTCCTTCTTTTTGTGTCAGCCAAATAAGCCAGTGAATATTAATGAATATCTTACTCTTAGTTCTTCGCTGATATGAGATAAATTAGTTATGTCGCCCGTGCGATCACGGTACAGTATGAACGTCACTCGTATACAGTACAGTATGTGAGATATCAATACTGCAGTATATCTTGGCTGAATTTTTTATAGATATATATATTTTTTTTTTAATGAACTTCACATATTTCTTTTACACAAAGGTCCTGATATCTCTTTGAGATAAATAATGACCAGAGGCTACCACATCAAGTGCCCAATTCTAGGCCACTGTGTAATACTGTAGTAAAAGACTTGAGGTGCTTCCCAGCTTGCAATGCCCATAATATAATCCAAGCACCTTTTATATTTTTCCAGTCAAATTAATCCTTTATTACGTGGCCCATTTAGAGGAAAACTTTTATGTTGAGAGCAATTATCACGTTCATATTAAGGTCAAGGTAGTCATTATTGAAGTGTATTAAGTGGAGTTAATGACTTTCCCCATAGCAAGTAGGTTGGATATATACTTCTTTACCTGATTTCTTTTTATGGCACCAGTACTGTACTTATCTTGTTGGTAATGCAGCACAAGTCCTGTATTAGATACTTCAGCTGTCTTCCTGGTAAAATTGTTTCTCCAACTAAGTTACAGAGTAAATAAATTTTTGAAATTAGAAATTAAATACAGATTTAAGTCTGAGAGGAATTTAAGTGGGATAGGGTAGAATGCAGATTAATTTGACTTTATCCTTTTCGCCACTGATTGGACCGGCTAGCCGCTTCAGTGGTCAGTCACGTCTCTGCTATGTACTGTTGAATGAGCTAACAGTCGGTGCTGTCGCTACATTCTCTGAGAGGTTGTTCCAAGAATTCACAACTCTCACTCCAAAAAGTTTGCACTTATAATTTTCTAAACTTGTGGCTTCTTCAACCTGAGTCTGTGACCTCTAGTGGGCGGGCATCCTTCAGTTCTGGGTATGAACACTCGAATGAGTAATATTCTATCGGGTGCTTATAGGCTTCTATAAGTCACCCTTTGCTGGGCAACTGCAGGCGTTCTAATCTCTCTGGGTACCTGAGGTGCCGGAGTACAGGCACTAGTCCGGTGGCCCTCGTTTGGATGCTTTCCATCAACTGACAGTCCCTAGCATACCTCGGGGACCAAGGTATGTGAAAGTCTTTCATATCCTTATGGTGGATTTTTTATAAGAGAAAATTAATAAGTCGGTCTGAATAGAAGTAAAAGACTAACACCACATAAGTGATGGTAGTCAAGTGCAGTACCTTCCACGCTACCTTCTTGTGTACTGAAAAGAGGCTTTAGTCTTCAATGTATTGTTCCACACTGCTAATGAGCCAACAGGCCTATGGGAACTACTTTCATTTTGTCTAATGAAGATAAGTGTTGGTTTAAAATCTCATCAAAACATTTTCAGGTTTAGACCATGACCTTCAGGTGACTGGCAAGTGGTGACGATGATTAAATAATATCCATTTGAATTTGATGTTCTTGATTTTCTGGTAATATTCACGGGAAATTTCATGAGAAGGTTTCCACTGAATCATGCACAATTGCTTAACAAGGGTGTGGTTTTTTATCTTCCAGTGACCCTTGCGTATGACAAAGACTTTAATTAGTGTTGTACACTTGACCTGGGGATAAAACATACACAGGTGAATGTTCATTATATCTGCATTGATACAATATATATATATATATATATATATATATATATATATATATATATATATATATATATATATATATATATATATATATATATATATATATATATAGTAATCATCTGACAAAATTATGACCTTTAGCCATTATCATTTACATTGAGCTTCAGCAGATAATGTTTGATTTTTTTTACTCTGTTCATTATTAAAATATCTGTACTGATGCATTTTGTCCTCTAAAGTATCAAAATTTTACCTTCAGGTTGACTTCAATATGTTCATCTACACAGGACAGATACTGTAGACTGTCTTCCAAGTTAAAGCTAATCCAGTTGGAACAGTAAGACTTGTAACCATAACAATGTTTTAGGTATATGCCGATGGACAAACAAATAGTAATAACACTTTGTACATGATCTCTTTTGCCGATGCCTAAAAAGTGAGGAGAGTAATACAAATAAATCCAAACACCTAAAAAGCATTTAACAAGAACATTGCCTCACAGAAGATAAAATGGCATATATTGAGTTAAGTAATCCTAAATTTGCTCCATATCTAGGTACAGGTACAGGTAAAGAAAATCAAGAGGTTAAAATTGTTTGGCAAACAAAAAAACTTTATGCAATATAGACCCGGAGATTTAAGTGGCTATTTCACAGCTTTGGCAAAGAGAAGATCTTCCACGGGACAAGTAGATAAAATCCTATAAGGTGAGCTCAACAGCAGACAAATCACCAAAATGATTTATAAACAGATTTTCACTTATGCCACTAAAATACAGAAGTTGGTCTGTGTACTTGAATGATAGTTTATAGCAGTATAGAGGATCCTGCAAATCCACTTGTTCAATATTAACCAAGTTTCTCTCATAGCTTGTGAGATTAAGTAAATTGGAACACTGATATTGTCGAGGTTTAAACTATTTAGTAGCAAGATACAATACTGTCTTGACTATTTAGTATAATATACTGTAAGTTGAGGATACTTTTTTCAAAATTTTGATAACCGAAAACGCCCAAAACTATGAGAATGAAGACATACAGTTCTGGCTTTCTTTGATGAAAGAGTAAAGAAACTCTTCTTTATGTATATTATTTAGGATTATAAAAAGCTGTAGGTGCAAGCAATGTATACGGTACACGGTAGGTTCAACATACAACCATACATTTTCACTGCTATGCTCTATTGTACTCGTACAGTCACAACTTTAACAAACACCTTATTAAACCGGCCCGTTGCCGTAGGAAACGAGTTTATATTGGTAAGGCTTAGTAAAGTTGACAAATTAACATGGCGTATTCTCTCTTTATTTCACATTTACCACAAACGGTATTCACAGTAGAAAACGAATACTGTATTGTGAGAATTGTAAAGGCATTTTATATGGTATAAACGTCAAACGTAGGGACCTCACCCATGCTTCACTGTCACCACAACGCACACTTTTTGTCATTACTTCACTATTTTTATACTTTTTTGCCATTTTATAAAGGAGTGCTAACTATGTAATAAATGCACAATATCAGAAATGACCACAGCTTTATATAGGCAATTTGAAAGCAATTATATGTGGAAGAACAATAGCACTACCACCGTGAAGCGTGCCAATAAAAAGCTGGAGCGAAAACTCCAGTTTCGCTCTTTTCACTCCGTGCTCCACTTGTTTAGTAAATAATATCACACCATAGGCTATAGTACCATTATTATTAACCAATTGGGATCTAGAAGCTTATTTTATCAAGACAACAAGTCGGTACTTTCCCGGAAAAAAAATACCGACTCCATGAGTAGGAGAATTGAACTGATCTGTTCTCCAATATGATTCTGGCGTAGAGTTTAAGCTCAGTTGAACATAATACTTTTTCAGTTGCACAACAGCTTCTCTTAAGACTTGATCATGTTATTTCCTGAAAGTTTATGGCATTCCCAAATAAATTGGTTAAGTTATTAGTCAGGCTCAAGCTTGAGAGGCTTAACCACTTCCTACGGCCCTGTTAAAACATGTGGCAGTTGCATTCAGTGGTAATAACAGTGATGCGGAACCATAACTAATCAGCTCCAGGTTCGCGTTCGGTTCAATCTTTATGAAATCGGTTTCGGATCCGGTTCCTAAATAAGAGTAAAACTCCGCAAGGAATATACATTAGGATTTTTTTATTAATTATTTATTTCTTAAATATAACTTAACATTATACATTTATTAAATTGATTAGTTCCTTTCATTGTGTTTACTTATTTAATTTATTTGTTTAACATGCACCTTACAACTTCTTGACCCAGCTCTGATAAACTTAAAGAAAATCTATTGAAAAAAATATTATTTTAATATTTTCTCCACTCTTTATACAACAATTATTGTGCATATTATTTCTAACATTGTTCAGATAACTTATTGACGTACACTTAAGACAAACTTAAAAATAAATATTTTGAAAAGAACACTTATTAATTTTTTACATAAATTAAAATGCTTATATTGTACATTCAAACGTTAATATGTCTCACACAGTTCCATACACATAATCTGCATACTGTAGATACATTTTTCACTGAACAATGTAATTCAAAAAGCCATTTAGGCGTAGGAATAGGATTGATTCCAACCGGTCTTCATGTTTGACCGCCTTTCTCGGTGAATTAACTTCAGGACTGAAAAAAGCCGTTCAACAAATATTTGAGTACAGTGCAATGCTGACACGTTGTATGCAACTTCTTGAATAATGGCTCTCAACTGTCACTGTCAGCTGGTGAACCACATGCAGTCTGGGAGAGAGTATTTTTTTCTGGGGTTTTATTTAACACTGACAGAAGCCTCATTTTCGCTCTTACACCGTAAACCCAGCCAGAGCCAGGAACCCGTGGGTTTTTCGGCGGTTCCTGTTCTGGGTTCATTTCCTCTAAAATATGCTGGTTTCTGTGGTTCCGGGTTCGGTTCCACATCACTGGGCAATAGTACAGTACTGTATAGATAAATGAAATTTGAATATAGAAGAGTAGCCAGTCAACTAAAATGTGTTCAACCTGTAACTCACAAACTTTTATGTTAATACTCACCACTGCTAAGTTTTGGGCTAAAATTTCCCCCCCCCCCCCAAAAAAAAAGCTTTCTGTAAAGATGTCCTAAAGTATAATTATAAATACAACAAAACCAGCAACAACTGTATATGTCGAAATGCAGTGGTGTTACTGGGCCATTGCCCAAATTTACTACAGTGGATCATACAAAAAATTACCCATATCTGAAGCATTATAAAATACCTAATCAAAGTCATGTATTTGTAAAAACATCTTGAATGCAAGAGGCAGGAAGTGTTGATGTAAGAAAAAACATTACATCATGGCTAGACCTGGGCATTCAAAAACCGAAATGCAATTGGCCCCAACATTTTGGCATAAAGGGTCCTTGATTTGTAAATGCAAAGCTACTCCTTGCGCACTGGACAAAGGCTAAATCTAAGATACCATTACTACTTAATGTCTGTTTCAAAACTAAGTGAGTTTTAAAGTTCATCGTTTCCCGGAAGTTAAACAAATACATGGTTCATTTTGGTAAAGCAACACTAATTTTAACCTGTGTAAACCTATAGTTCATTATACATGGAATACATTCCTCGACAACAACATATTGTAGGAAGCGTGGTAAATGACTAAACAACACTTCTTTATTGGTTTTTCTTTAATATTTATCAAATGTATCCGAGAATAAGGAATTTATTACTTTACAAAAGCTTTAACAAGATATTCATGTGGCAAATCCTGAAGTGTAGCACTGGCCACCTACGCCATGATCTATTAGGTATTAGCAAGATTCAACTTTTCATAATGATCTAAGAATTTTAGTTCATTGCCATGTTACAGAGCTCTGAGTTTGACTGGTCCTCAGCCCTTCTTTTCTGCTCTCTTGAGTTATAAAACTTTGGTTTGTTTGTGAACATCACTGATTTTCCCATCATTTGTGGTGACCCATTCCTTAAACTTCTCATATCTTCTTAATTAAGGACCTCTTGGTTCATATATAATGATTTCCTAGTACTGTAGTTCTTAAATTTACAAGATTACATCATCTTCATCATCATCTTGGATATATATTTTGCCATTAATATTTAACTTTGGAATTTCTGAATTTCCAGGGAGAATCCTTATATTTATTCTCCAACAAGTTTGACCAGTCGTTGCCCTTTCCTCCCTCCCTCATGTAACGTTTGACCCCTGGTCCGCTTTTATCATGTACCAAATATTGTAAAATTTGTAGCACCTTCACATGATGACTTTGTGCCAATGGGGGTAAATGTTTCTTTTCATATTGGTGAACCTAAAGATTAGTTGACTCTCAAAACAACCATTGGCCCGGGAATTATAATCATAGCTTTGACGCAGGTGTGGCAGGTGAGAAACAGCTCTGCAGTAATATTACTGATTTATTGAGGCAGTGTAAGCTGCCACTAGACAATCCAGGGGGCAAAGTCTCACAGGCCACTTTTGCTATAAATTGAGATTTGTGAAATTTTTTCTTTAATCTGTTAATCATACAATATCAAAATGTCTGAGTTTACGTCTGTAATCAGTTGGGCGATATGGAGTTTGGCACAGTTGCTGTGGTATATTTTCATGTAAAGTTTGTTTGTGAAACAAAGTATCAATATGTTGTTTGATATAAGAATCCTTGATCACATTGAAACTTGGCCAGATTGTATGCTGGGGTAGGCCTTGTTGGAGTTTGATTGTGAAATACTAGTCCAAGTGATAAAACACCCAAACAATGTTTTAAGCTTACAAGAAATACTTGGCATTTGCCTTCCACTTGTAATTATTTACTATCAAAATAAGGTAATAAATTTTGTATTTTTTAGTCTTCATCATAATCAAGTATTATATTGTGTTTATAGGTTACGAACAAAACCCATTATCTAAAAGAGAATGAATCATAATTTATTTTTGCTCAATTTGCTGAAAGTTTTGGAGAGACTGAATGCTGTCTTTCACAGATATCATCTAGTTGCCTTGTTTTGGGTTGCCTTGTCCTTCAGTGAACTTTGACTCTGCTTGTGTAGTCCTCGCATGGCTCTGCTTGTGTAGTCCTCGCATAGTGTAGAATCATGGTACATACACCTTAACTAGTTTCCGTGCCATCGGGATCCCTACATTATGTATTTGGGTCGTTATCTTGTTATCCTTGGACGCTAGATATCTTTTATTCTCTTCTCGTATCATCTTGATATTTGTCAGTCTACTAGTTGGTCCCTCACTTCTTACATGTCAGCAGTTTATAAGTACCTTATCCTTGGGTGACCTAGATACAGGTCACATTATCCTTGGGTGACCTAGATACAGGTCACCTTATCCTTGGGTGACCTAGATACAGGTCACCTTATCCTTGGGTGACCTAGATACAGGTCACCTTATCCTTGGGTGACCTAGATACAGGTCACCTTGGCCTTGGATGACCTAGATACAGGTCACCTTGGCCTTGGATGACCTAGATACAGGTCACCTTGTCCTTGGGTAACCTAGATACAGGTCACTTTGGCCTTGGGTGACCTAGATACAGGTCACCTTGTCCTTGGGTGACCTAGATACAGGTCACCTTGTCCTTGGGTGACCTAGATACAGGTCACCTTGTTCTTGGATGACCTAGATACAGGTCACCTTGATCTGGATGACCTAGTCATAGGCTACCTTGTTCCTGGATGGCTTGGTTATAGATTACCTTGTTCCTGGATGACCTAGTTGTAAGCTACCTTGTTCCTGGATGACCTAGTTACAGATTACCTTGTTCCTGGTTGACCTAGATACAGATTACCTTGTTCCTGGATGACCTAGATACAGGTTACAGAGTGATGCAGGATCTGGTTGCCTTATTATCGATGATGTAGATTCTGGTTCGTGTAATCCTGAAATACGAGACGTGACCTGTAGTCCATTTACCTTCCATCAAGAGATACTTAATCCACCTATGAAAGTGATTTGGACTAAAGGAAATTCCATGTCTAATTGGTGAGATTATTACTATGTAATGTTTAATGACGGGGTATGTATGATATATATATATATATATATATATATATATATATATATATATATATATATATATATATATATATATATATATATATATATATATATAGTAATCATTCATCACTCCTGATATACAATATATTCTAAACTATATTTACTCCTATATAGTTAAACTATATCAAATTATTATGCCAAAATATACTCATTATAACTTATATCTCACACTATGTGGGAGGTAGATGTTAAGGACCAATCACACTGGTACTAGCATTTAAGATATTTTTTCACCGTGTTATGGTTGTGGGTGTACAGTGCAGTGCGGTATTTGGTAACTGGTGTAGGGAAGAGAATGTTTCATCAGTTGACAGTTTACCAAGAGCCAACAGTCCGTCAAACATGCCTCTTGGTGTTGTTTACGTGACAAGTATCTGAATTTTTATGACCCTTTGCCAGTTAAACTGTAGTTATATAAACATTTCATAAGCTTAAGTATTGATATAATCACAACTTTTAATACAGTATATAACTGAGGCACCTATTTAATAATTCATTAACTTTAATATTTAAACAAAGAATTCCAATAAGTGTTACTATATCATTTCCAACATCTTGCTCCAACAGTTAATAGTTCAAGATAAATTTTTACATTTGTGACAATATTCATGGTTAGAAGATTCAAATCCAGTATTGTATTGTACAATACTGTATAGAGTTTTCCTTTCACAGAGATATGACTATTTTTGGCTTTTAAAGTTGAAAATTATTGTTTACAGAAAGCGATTAAAGTTATGGTTTTTTATTTTTCTAATGTTAAAAATTAAGCTAATATCTGACTGACTAGTTTAATATGCAGAACAAAGCACTTATTATTGCTTAGGTAAAAACTACATTAGACTTAGAATGGACAACAGGTTTGTAATTTGTCAAATTAGGTCAGTGATAATGTAGATTATATACTGTATACCTGTTCTTGAAGAAGGTCATTTGATAATTTTAATTCCATACTCAGTAGTAGTTAATACTAAAAACTATTCCACAATATTACTTGTGGATGACATAAATGTAGGTGTTCAGTAAACATGTGCAATAGTGAGATATGCATTGAAACATTGGTGTGTAACAATCTCGAAGTGCAACACATTACTCAAAATGTAACATGCCACATGTAACACCTACAATTAAAAGTCCACCATAGTATATCATAAAGTAAGTATTGTAAAATGTTGGACAACATCCGTGGGAGGTGTCTAAGTACATTTAGTCTGAAAGGGAATGGAAGTTGTTAGAATAATATTTTGTATAGGAGATGAGTTTTCCTGAAAATCTTCTGCCTATAATCTTTGTAGTGATATCATAAATTACGATCTAGTTTTTAATTTAAACTTCAATCCTACAAGCTCTTTATCTGAGGTTGGCGGCCAAAATTTTGGAGAACGCATGCACTTCTCTGTACAAGATACTGGAATAACATTTGTCACTGCTATGCAAGTGATATGCAATCCTTTTTTATTACAATAAAATTATATTATGAGATAAGATTACGAATATGTCGATACTACTGTCATACACTCCTAAGATCCTTCCTGTCGATTTAGTTCAATATACAATATTTTTTTTACCCTCTCTGAAAGAGTTATGGATATGGCTCTCCTGTCCTGCAAGCCTTTTCCCACTGTACTCTAGGACAATTGGAAGTAAGATGGGGCACTTACTCTTCATGAGTTGTTTTTTAATTTACTCTTACTGCCGTAACACAGTGATGGCGTTCCCCTTCCACAACAAGGACCTAGATTATCTTGATTATCTTTAACACTTCACACAACTTAGCATCACCCATCAGTACTTCGTCCATCCCCTGAGGCCACTGTATGCCATGTGGTCCTGTGATCTTCCACATTACTGAATTAAATACTAGTTGTTATCAATCTTTCGCTTCCCATTTCCTTGGAAATTTCATTCCGCCATAACAGATCCCAGTCTCAAACTCAATTTCTAGTTTATTTTTGTATTTCTCATTCTCTACACTCGACTGTACATCCTATTTGCCTTGCATATTGATCTCAGGCTTATTTTATGTCACTTCTAACAAGTTTCTCCCTCTTGCATCCAGAGCCCTTGTTTCATACAGTAACATTTGTTCAGTGATTCTCCTATACACCCCTATCTTGAAACAGTTCTCTCTCTACATTTTTCAATACTCTGTTAAACAGTTCATTCTACTGTGATTCAATTGGTCAATCGTTGGTACACTTGTTTATATATCCACTCCCAGACATCTGAAACACCTTCCTTAATAATAGTAATAATAATAGTAATAATTGGTGCTAATGCAGTGTGACCAAAAGTAGGTAAAACCATGAGATGCTTATTTCCAGTAGAGTCCTTTGGTTTAAATAGCAACAGTTATTAATGTTCTTTGGTGGTCACCCGTCCAAGTAGTTAATAACCAGACCTAATTGTTGCTCAACTCCGCTGATTGGACGAAAAGCAGTATTTTCAACGAAATATTATGTCAGTTTCCTTTCTCTCCATATTTTCATCATTTTTGTCACTCAACATTCTCAAAGTTCACACACTTCAAACCAAATGCATTAACATTTGTATCTTTCCATACTATTAGACAATCATAACAATGTTACACAGGGAACCTGTTTCTTTTACCCCGAAATACTCTTAACACATGCTTCACACTCTCTTAATACACACTTTTAGCACATAACAGTATCTTGTGCATATCAGTGCATTCAACAGTGCTCTCGTGATGATTATCTCATTTTTTTCTCACATCCATGAAATACTGTGCCACAAATACCTCTTCAAAACAACATGCAAACATGTGGTTCACACAGTCTCTTCTGGACACACACTGCTCCTGCCTTAATACTGTGTTACTGCCGAAACTCACTTCTAGACGTTTCCACTCGTTAACAGTAGTGGCATATAAGTATTCAAAACTAGGAGCACTTCGGAACTCAGAGATATGATGATAACTACAGACTCACATATCCTTATGCTAAATTTAAAGCCAATGTCCAGAAATATGAACAATAAGGAACATGAAATATTTGCTGTTACCTGTACTAGTTCATATAATATTGTTTACAAGTGATGAAGAGTCACTAAACGATTTCTTAGCCAATAAGAACCATATTCAATTTTGTTAAGTTGTATCAAATTACACTCAGACATTTTATTTCTAAGTGATATAGATGGATATGTTAGAAGTAATACAAGCTGATGTAAATTTAACTTCATAGTTCCCTGCCAAGAGTAATCATGTCGGGTGAAGACATTATAACATCGTACCTGATCCTCTGTGATTGCTGCGCGTATGTTAAATGGATCCCTCAGTAACAATGTTCATACTGTTGAAACACGTTGTTAACTAATTATATCACTTGACATTAAAACGTTTTCTCTCTACTTATTCTCTTATTTTTCCTTGTGGACGAATTTCACATCAGAAAATTGGAAAGATTTGATGAATGCACCTTGCACCTTGATCAGAAACACCAGCTCTAAACAGGGACCCGGAACTTCAAGCAATTAACAGAATACAGCAGCTTAGTACGCGACAATGCCCTCCCCCGCCTCAAAAAACAAACAAAAAACAAGTCAGGTTAGAGAAAATAAATTTTTTGACTGAAAAAATTTCCATGGAGCGGGGTGCCCCTCTGAGGTTTTTTGACCACAGCGCGTCAGGAACTACCTATACTGAGATTTTGAGCTCAGAAAATATGCCTTTCTGATTCTTGATCAGATAGACGAGGGTTAAGATTCGGAATTTGTCTACCACGGATCTTTATATTGATATTCATACAGGGAGATAGAGAAAACAACAACTAAATTTTAATAAAATTCCGAGGCAAATTTAAATAAGTCGCTTTTTTGGGGAGTTTTCAGTTTGACTTAAGGAAGTACAATTTGGCAGGAGACACTATTTACATCTTACTCACGTAACTACTGTTACTCCTGTGCATGCTGTTTTTTTTTAATAACTTTTTTAATGGGGCACAGATTAATTATCGACCCACAACGGGGCCGGGGGGCGAAACAGGAATAAACAATAAAAATTAGATGAGAAAAAGAGTATATTAATCTACAAAACGAAAATGCCGGAAAACCAGCTTTTTGAAGTGAGACATTATAAGAGGATAAAAAGACAGACAAAGGCAGAGCATTCCACTATAACGGGTTATTCTAGTGTGACCGACATCTACACCAGGACGTGTGTTACGAGCCCATTGCCTTGCCAGCGGTACACAGGATGCCAAATCCACCGAACATTTCCAGTAAAAGAGAGAGAGTAAAGCAACATTGCGGCAAAGTGAAAGGGAAGAGATATTATTGACTAAAGGAAGAGAGTTAATAAGACGAAATGCCTTTGATTCCACCCTGTCTAACAGTTGGACAGAAAAAGAGCCACCCAGATATGAGAACAGTACTCCAAGTTAGGACGAATAAATCCCTCATATGCTTGATGCAACTGCTCAGGAGTGAAGTAGCTACGGCATCTGCACAACATCCCCAGCTTTCTGGAGGCAGCTTTAGCCATACTGTATTATTGATGTGTGACTTCCATGAGATATTAGAGGAAATGGTGAGGCCTAACCTTATCTATTTTAGAATTTGGTAAAATGGTTGCGTCCTGAAATGAGATTAACCAAATTTCTACCTCCCCATGCGGAGATGCTGCACAGATCCGCATTGATAGAAGAAACGATATCAGCTCTAGAAACAGATTTGGTTTGAGAGTTAGGGGGAAGGGAAAAATAAGAAGAAATGGCGTTCATGGTGACGGAGAAAAGGAAAGTTTGAGGTAGTTTCGAAAATCTTAGATAGGGGTGAAGTTAGGGCAATGGGACGATAGTGGAGATTATAGGAGAGCAGGAATAGGAAGGGTAGAGTCTGAATCGTCTAAGGTGGAGTAAGAGGAAAATAAGGTGCCAAAGAGACTGGTCTTATGAGAGGGAGTGTTGGCTATAAAGATACCAGGCCACAAAATAAGAAGAAAGGAGGGAGTGCAGAAGTTATTATAAATATTTTGGTTTTTCAAATAAAATTCCGCTTGGCCCTACGAAGAATACAGTAGCCTTACAACGATTCCTAGATGTAATGAAAGAAGAGTGAGTAACAGGAGGACATAGTTTGATAACTTGATATGCCCCATCTCTCTCCCTACATGTAAGTGAGCAGGAGCGATCAAACCATGACTGTAATGTGAAAGTTTTGGTAGAAGATGGGATAAATGCACTCATACCACCCTGTATAAACCCAGCAATGCTGTTAGCACATACCAAGGCGTCCCGAGTGGAAAAGCAACATTCATCCCAAGAAGAGTCGGAGAAGAATTCTCGCAAGGATTTCCAGTTTGCCCTCCGATATTACCATAGTTGGTGTTTAGAGGGAAGTCGGGGGGGGGGGGGGGCCCGTGCCCAGTTTTGATTTAATAGAAATAAGATTGTGATCAGAAGACACTAAGAGGGCATAAATTAAGTATGATTGTACATCACTCCCTGTGATGTACAATCACAGACAAAAGTCGTGTCGCGGTTTTGTCCGAAGGGTAAATATAACTCGTAAAACATTTTGAGAGCCTCCCTACCACAAGGCAGAGCGCACCAAAAGTTTAGCCCTTCGGCATATATTTTCACCTAATTTCACTCCTTGGTTGAGGATCTCGGTGTTGGGGTGTTTGGATCGCAATGACTCATGGCAAGAAGTAAGATAATCAAAGAGTCCTATATAGTTGGTAGAGTTGGAAGAACACTATAGGAAACAAAGAAAACTAGTCATAGTTGGTAGAGAATTTTGAGCCAGATGACATCATAAAGGAAAGATTCAAGATCCGTTAGTCGAGCTAAAGGTGTACGTGTGTTGCAGTAGGCGCATACACTTCCCTTAAAACGGAAAGAGGTATAAAGGTTGTAGTTGGAGACTTGATAAGGTTTGGGTGAAGCTGCTTTAGTGAGTTGAAACTCAGATAATAGTAAGAGGTCGGGTGAAAGACGTTAATAGATGATGCTCCACAGAAGAAAAATTGGATCTCAGGCCGCGAATGTTGGAAAAATGAAGTGTGATAAAAGCTGATCCTCCAGCAACCGCGGCGACGTCAGTTGAGGCCCCAGTAGTTTGGGTAGTCGCAAGACGGATCCTCTGTGCAACGGATGTTCTTTGTCAGCTTAGCAAATTATTCATTGTGTCTTTGAAAATGAAGCCACTGCAAATAAAATTTTTCAGGATTATGGCACTGTAGGGGTATCGAGATATTAAAGTTGTCTAGCACTCAGGATGGAAGGAAGCTCTAATGTGGTTTTCTTGTATAATATATAAGTTATATGATAGACAGTCTGGTGCTGGAGATGCCGTGTGGTGGGGAGCTGCTCAGTAGAAGACGTTCGGTGAGTAGCTTGTTGAAGGAGGTAGATGTGCAGGAGCTTCGTTAGAGAAGGTGTTGCCTGTTGCTGGCCTCCTGGTTGAATGAAATGTTAACAGCGTGGAGCTTGCTGGAGGAGATGTTGCTTGTTCAGGAAAATGGGCAGAATGAATCTCAATGGAGAGACAGAGCTTATATACACCCAGCAGCAGCCGCCAGTCCTCTATGAGTCATGTTGGGAAAACCCGAGAAGTAGCCGGTGACTAGTTCCGTTGCTAAGATACGGTAACATCTGGGGACAGCTCTCGCTTGGTTGCTAGGGGAGGCGGCACATTGGAATGCGATACGCAGTTTGTAGGGGAGACGTCCACTACAATACTCCCCCTCCCCTCCAGGCGCGGCGGGAGGCTGGATGTTGTCCGGGTTGTGTCCCACACATAACACATACCGGGCAGGTGTATGTACGACTCGACCGCTACGTGTAACAACTCCGTCCAGTGACACAAAACCTGTGGGAGAATTAGGAGGAGAAAGAGGGTTTGGGATTAGAGGAGGTTGTACAAGCAATGGTTGTTGTGCTCCTGCTGCTGCAGGGGCTGCGTCAGGAGGAGGGTCCATGGCAGGAGCAGGTTCAGGTTCTATGACAGGAGGAGGGTCTATGACAGGAGCAGGTTCTATGATAGGTGGGAGGTTTATTACAGGTTCAGGTTCTATGACAGGAGCAGGTTGTACATGAGGGTGAAAAGAGGGTGCCCAGAAATGTCGTGGGCGTGGTGTTGCTGCCGGTGGTAACTGCGGGTGGACTGGTGCAGGCGTAGTTTGTTGATGGTGCTGCTGGGCTGGGGGCCCGACGGGTAAGGCGGCCGGTTTGACTCTGTCTATGCTGACGGTGTCATGTCTGCCATTCCGGATAATTGTCAGGAACTTTGCAGAACGGGTAACCACCTGGAAGGGTCCATCGTAGGGGCGTTGTAATGGGTTGCTCTGAGCATCATGCCTGACGAAAACATACTCGGCTGTGAGTAGTGCAGGAGGGATGTGTTCAGGGCGCCGAGTAGGCTGGCGTGGAGCAGTAGCTCTGAATGCAGAAACTGCTTGTCGTAGCTTTTGGAGTAAGTCGTGACGAACGGCTGGAGTGGCTTGGTTGGGATCAGGAGGGAGTGAGAAATCCCCGGGTAGCCGAAGTGGCTCGCCTAGTGTCAGATCTGCTGGGCTACAGTCCATATCCTCCTTGTGTGACGCACGGATGCCGAGGAGCACTAAGGGAAGCGCATCAGTCCAGCTGTAAGGGTCGTGCTGTGCCTTGAGTGCATCCTTCAGCTGCCGGTGAAAACGTTCTACCATGCCGTTGGCTTGAGGGTGGTATGCTGTAGTGCGTTGTCTAGACGTGCCGAGGAACTGTAGGAGGTGCTGCCAGAGTTGTGACTCAAACTGTACTCCTCGGTCAGTGATTACGGTTGCGGGGGGCCAAAACGGGAAACCCAACCGGACATGAAGGCGCGGACAGTAGTCTCTGCTGTAGCGTTGGGCATGGGAATTGCTTCTGTCCACCTGGTGAAACGGTCGATGCAGGTGAAGATGTAGGTGCTACCGTAGGATGATGGTAGAGGTCCCACGATGTCGAGGTGTACTACTTGAAAACGGCCTTTGGGAATAGGAAAGGCTTGTAAGGGGGCCCGTATGTGACGATGTATTTTGGAGGACTGGCAGGCCAGGCACTGGGCAGCCCATTTCTTAGTATCAGACTTGATGCCGGGCCAGACGACACGTTGCGTGAGGAGGCGCTGGGAGGCCCGCACACCCGGGTGGCTGAGACCATGGATGCGGTCGAAAACAGCGCGGCGGTGGACGTGAGGCACGAACGGTCTAGGCTGTCCACAGGATACGTCGCACCACAATTTTATCTTTGTGCCAGGAACAGGGAGTTCTTGGAGTATGAGGCCTGAGGGGGATGTCTTGTATGCTGCCAGGTCTTCGTCTTTCTCTTGAGCCGCGGCTAGCTGCCCATAATCAATGGGTGGAGATGAGGGAAGAATGGTGGATATAC